GATTGAATTGTCCCATTCGAGAAGGAGTTTATAAATTTTAAATTACTTTCTCTTAATGTTCGAGGGATTCGTTCCCCAACAAAGAGGAAAGCTCTTTTCACGTGGCTTAATGAACGAAAGTACGATATCATTTTCCTTCAAGAAACCTACAGTACTGTAGATGTTGAAGATATCTGGAAGACGCAATGGCAAGGTAAGCTTCATTTTGCACATGGTTCTAATCACAGTTGTGGGGTGATGATTTTAGTGAGAAGTGACCTTGATTTTAGCGTTAAGTCCGTTAATTTGGATACCGAGGGCCGCTCAATTATAATGGAAGCTGAGGTACAAGGCTCATTATTCTTGTTTGTTAATATTTATGCTCCCAACAAGGTTCAAGATCAATCCGTTTTTTTGAAAATTTAAATAAAAACATTGAACATTTCGCTGTTAACAAAGAGCATAGGATAATTGTAGGGGGAGATTACAATGTCACACTGGACTCCGATCTTGATTGTTCCGGTGGAAAACCTTTTAAGAAAGAGTCTGTCAAAAAAATACAAGACTTATGTCTCGATTACGACTTAGTAGACATTTGGCGAATTCGAAATCTGGAATGTAAACGTTTTACGTGGAGGCAAAAAAATCCTTTCATTCAGAGAAGACTTGAAGGTATTAATGGTATTAAGGTAGATAATGAAGAGATCAGATTAAGCCTTTTCGCAGATGATTTAACTGGTTTTTTGAAAGATAATCTTTCGCTTGTGAACTTTCTTTAACTTAGAGAAGATTACGGGACTTGTTCAGGCCTGAAGATTAACCACAATAAATCAGAAATAATGATATTGGGTAATTCTTCTACTCTACAACAAGACAATGCCGTTTCATGCAACTTAAAAATTAAAAAAGTTGTTAAAATTCTAGGAGTGCATTTCACCTATGATTTTCGATTGAAACAAAAATTAAATGTTGATGAATTAATTAGTTCCACTCAACAAAAACTACAAATTTGGAGGTGGAGGGATTTGACGATTATCGGAAGAATTCAAATTGAAGATGGGGGACTTAAAGCCCCACATTTAGATTCTATAATAGAGACTCAGACAATCCTCTGTTGCAAAAAGTTGGCAAGCGATCAACCGAGCAATTGGAAAAAAATTGTACTGCATTATCTTGAACCTGTGGGGGGTAAACTTATTTTATGTTGCGATTTTGATTTGAAGAAATTGCCCATAAAGCTTCCAGCATTTTATGAAGAATGCTTTAAAAGTTTCGCAAAATGTTCCGCAGCAACTCACACAAGTATACAGGATCAAAATAGACAAGATCTTTCAAAACAGTAACCTGCACTGGCTTCCGGTTACCCACAGAATAGAATTCAAGATAGCAATGCTAGTTCACAAATGTATCTACGGCGTCGCACCACAATATCTTTCAGACTTGATAAAAATCAAAGAGAGCTCGCGGTATCAGTTGAGATCACACCGGGGCATACTCCTAATGGACAATACCTATAGAACAAAAAAGACACTCGGGGATAGGGCGTTTGAAAATGCTGCGCCCAAAGTATGGAATCGACTCCCTTTAGAAATTAGACAATGTCAATCATTGAACGTTTTTAAAGTTTTACTAAAGACATCTTTTTAAATTAGCTTTTTATTAGTTCTTTTATTAACTCATATTTTACTTTTATTGTTTTCCGAAAATTGTAAATTATTATTATTATTATCAGTATTTGGACTAGCCATTTATTACTTTAAGATTTTAGTGTTGTAATGCGCACTCGATCATATCTTTATCGCATGCTAGACTGCGCAATATAAGAAATAAACATTATTATTATTATTATTATTATTATTAAAGCTATTGTGTGGAATAATAAATTTATTTGTATCGGTGGCAAATCTGTGTATTTTAAAAATCTCGCAGAAAAAGGAATTCTTCGAATAGGGGATCTAATCTTGGACAATAACGAATTTATCGTTAAAAGTAATTACAAGTTGAGAGAATTAAACACCTCACCGTTAGATATATTTAGACTTATTTCTGTAATAGACGCCTTACCAGTTGAATAGCGTGAATCATTAAACACGCTTGCTTCTACAGCTGACGAGCCTATCAATTTATATAACGAAATTAAATTAAGTTTTAATGACAAAAACGTTTTAATTGAAACAGTCACTTCAAAGGCTATATATAAAGAACTTTATATAAACTGCCCAACTGAATTTTAATACTCATTTTGTTAATGATGTTTTAGAATGGAAAGAGATTTACAGCTTGCCATTTCGTACTTCCTTGGACACAAAATCGCGTGAATTCCAGTGTAAACTACTTAACAGGTGTCTTTTCACAAATTCTTTTTTAAACAAAATTGGTATTATTCCATCCCCGGCGTGTTCCTTTTGTGGCGAAATGAACGAATCCTTGGAGCACTTTTATATTTCTTGTCGTTATACTAAGGATTTCTGGGCTGAGGTAATTAAGTGGTTCGATAATCAAGGCGTAAAGATAAAACACCTCTCTGAAAAAGATATAATGTTTGGTATTTTAAGGTGCCAAGACGAATTATTGATCAATCATATTTTAATAATTGCCAAACAGTATTTATATTCTTGCCGACAGAACAAATCTCTTCCTTCAATTAAAGTATTAAACCTCAAAATTAAAACGATCCACCAACTCGAGACAATGATCCCAAAATCAAATAAGCTAAAAGCTCATAATATGAAATGGGACAAGTACAAAAATTATTAGATGATATAGAATCTCATGTTTGTTGCTGCACTGTACTAGTATTATATTTAGAAGCCGAGGAGAGCTAAGAGGAACTGTGGATTGTGTATGTAGATATATGATGTACCGTGTCTGTCTGTTTATGTGAATTGTTTCTTTATGAAAAATGTATGTAACTTTGAATTAATAAAAATTAATAAAATACAAAAAAAAAAACAATATGATATATATGATCGCAGACAATCGCAGAAAGTTCTGCGATTGTCTGCCATCATATGGAAACACACTTCTGCAATTGTCTGAGATCATCTGCAATCCTGTGATCGTGATTGCAGACGATCGCAGAAGATAGAACCATATTCTATCTTTTGCGATCGTCTGCGATTGTCTGCGATCGTTTGCGATCCCGCGATCATATGGAAACCAAAGTTCTGTGATCTGCGATCCAAACGTATGCCATAATATTTTTAATTCTGACCCATGATTCAACCCTTGTAAGCCACTAAGCCCGAATGTTCTCACTTGTTTTCAACATGGCTGGCGTTGAACATGGTAACATTACTAATGAGGAATTTAAGGAGGAAGTTGCGCGGTATGAGTGCGTTTACAACCATAATAGTAAGAGTTTCAAAGACAAAAACAAAAAGGCTAACAGTTGGCAAAAATTCGGTGAGAAATTTAATTTATTGGCGGCGGAAGCAGAGGTCAAATTCTGCAACATAAGAACTGCATATGGTCGTTATTTGAAGCGGTTAAAGACGATACCTTCTGGATCGGGGCGAGATGCAGTGCCAAGAGAATTTCAAAACCTGGAATGGCTC